GGCAGGTGGCACAGGACACAGTTCCCCCCCCCCCGTCTGCCTGCAGTCTGGAGCTGGGAACCCCCAGCTGTGGCCTCTGCCTGGCTCAGCCGTTCCAGCTGTGTCCCAGCAACGCATTAGCAGAGGGCAAGCGGGGATTACCAGCCGTTATCTGATCAGGCCCTCATCTGTGGGAGCAAGGTCGCACGCCAGAGGAGACGGGAAGCAAGACCCACGCGGGCCTTTCCCCTATCGGGGCTGCAGCCCTCAAGGGGAGGCCAGTGAACGCCCAGCCGGACCACGGCCGGGATCCCCTCCGTCTCTGCCTCTCCCGGTTGAGGGAGCCAGGAGGGCAGGTGGTGCCAGGCTGAGAAGGGAGGCGGCAAGGAAGGCTTTGGGGAGGGATGAGTGGCTGGGCTCCCTTGGGCTGAGGGGGAAGGGGATGCTGGGAGCAGGGAGAGGTCGATGCGTCTGCCAGGCATGGGAATGGCGACTGAAGGCGCCCCTCTGATGCTCCATGTCTGCCATGCTGCTGCCCACCAGCACAGCCCGTAAAGCTTGCAGGCTGTAAGCCGCCTGGCCCTCAAGGGTCCTTGAGCCCCGTGCAGTAGATTGGCTCGGCACACCTGAGGAGCCCCAGTGAGGGTGGGCACCTGGTGCCTCCTGGTAGCCTCCATAATTGGCAACAAAATAGAGAAATCTCCCTGCCCCCCCCCCCAAGAGAGAGAGAGAGCCCAGCAATCGTGAGACCGAAGAGAATGGACCTGACCATTTGGAGATTCCTTCCGGGGGGGGGGTCTGCACTGCCTGCCTTGGGGGGCTCAGCCCTCAGAGGTGCCACCGCCCCAGCCATTGCTCTGCAGGAGATTCTCCCTGGGAACGAATACTGAGAAAGCCCCTCCCCCCCCAGTCCTGCAGGAGCTGCAGAGGGGAGCAGTGGAAGGGGGAGGGTCTCTGTGGTCCCACCTGAAGCCAGCCTGCCTGCGCAGAAAGGGGGGGACGCAAGTGCTTAACCTGCCATGCCAAGGAGGGGCTCCATCGCCCAGCAGGGTCTTCCCAGCTGTGCTGGAAGAGGCGGGCCCTGGACTTCTCCACCCCCACCCCCGCTAACTCACAGCTGCGTTTTGCACACTCAAGGACTAGTTCACGCACTTGCTCAGTGCACTTCCACCCAGATAGATGATACGCTGGGCCTGCTTTGTGTAACCGACAGAAACATGGTTGAGACGGGCACTTCGGTGGCTTTCATGGAGCCTCCATGGCAAAAAAGCTGTGGTGGGTTGCTACCGGTTCCCCCCAGATCGGGCAAATCGGTAGCGACAGCAACGGGAGACTCCGCCCACCCACCCGGACGCACAAGCGTCGCACAAGCGAACCGGTAGCAGACTATATTGAAACCCACCACTGCGAAAAAGGCCTCGGGGGTCAGGATGCCCTGAGCCCCCCTTCAAACCCAGGAAAAGACGAGTGGCTCCTTCATGGGGGGGGCCAATAGGGGAGGGGTTCTGCCAAGGCAGTTAGAAGCAGGAAGGCCAAACATGTTCCTGGACGCTGGCCTGTTCCTTGGGCTCCTTGCTGCATTCCCACAAGAGGCTAAACCACAGAGAAGGGAATGGAAGAAGTCACTAGAGGGTTGTGGAAACATGGCAAGGGGGAATTGGCGTCAGTCTTCGGGAAGCACTGGGTGTGGAGCATGGGCACGGGGGTCATGAGCTTCCCTGCGGCCCATCCTGGGTAATAAGCTGCTTGGATGCCAGGACAGCCTCACCGTGGCAATGTCACCGTGCAAAACCTCCTGTGTTGGCCATCTTGAGTTGTTTATAAAAACAATAAAGGCAGGATGTGAATTAAATAAAATTCCCCAACTCGGGAAGGTGCGATACCCAGGGCGAACCAGGGGGGTGCAACTGATGAAGTCCAGGATTCCATGCTGACCAGCAACCCGTCCTGTCCATCCTCCGCCCCCCCCCCCCGGCCTATTCGTTGCCCCAAAGAACAACTGTTGCTGTAGGGGACGTAACTGCCAATGTCGACTGCCAGGAAGGCTCTTCTGAGTTGGGGGGGTGGGAGTTGCACAGCCGGAGGGCTGACCAGGAACCACCACCTCAGACTCAAAATGCCAAAAGGGAACAAGAAATGGATCCAGTGCAGCTCCGCCTGACAAAATTCAGGAGAAGACCTTTCGGCTCTGGTCAATCAACTGAATCCAGCCGGCCTCCTGCTGACACTGCTCAGTGTCCATTGCCGTCTAGCCCCAAACCTTCCTGGTGGTCTCCCATCCAGCTCTTCATGAGATCTGATCCTGCCTGCCTTCCTGAAGGTCATCGGAAGTTGGGCCAGATGTTCCTCAAGCAAAAGAACAGCTGCTTCAATCCGGCTGTTGCTTCTCCCTCAGCTTCCCAGCTGGTGGTTGCGGAAGGGGGCTCTTTGCTGGCTGACCTCCCTTTCTGAGGCAGCGGGCGAAGAGGTGACCTGCCCCCGTCTGCATCAGTCGGGCTTCTGGCTGGCCTTAATGCAGGAAGGGCCTCGGCTGCTCTGTGCAAAGGCCTCACTGGAGGGGGCAGGATCCCATTCCCTTCCAGGCTCAGCTCTCCATCATCTGGAGGGAGAACCAGGGTTAGGAAATGGATGGCTGTGACGGGGGGGAGGAGGTGTCTCCTGCTGGCTCTCCTGGACCTCTTGGCAACTTTTGATCTCGTGGAGGATGTTATCTTTAGGGTCTGCTTCCCCACTAGGCTGGTCCTGAGCCTTTCCTCTGAGGCCATCCGGCTGTGGTGTCCCTGTCAGACTGGCCAGGCGGTGCCAAGAGTGGGCAAGAGGGAAAGGGTTGGGATACCCTCCTTTCCTGGCCCTGGTCTGAACTGAGAATTCTTCCAGAACTGGGTGAATAGAAGGGCAGGGCAGGAGCTTCTACCTTTAGTTTAGTTTTGGTATTTAATCATTATTTTCAGTGCTTTACACCAGGAGAGTCCAACCTCTGCAACTTTAAGACTTGTGGACTTCAACTCCCAGAATTCCCCAGCCAGCTTTGCTTTGGTGACTGGGGAATTCTAGGAGTTGAAGTCCACAACTTGCAAAGGTTGGAGGCCTCTGTTTTACCCAATGTAAAGGATGACGGCCACCCGGTAGTTTTTACCTCATAGGGGCCAGACAGACCTTGGTCTGTCCCCAGCCTGGCCCTTTGGACCCTCCATTTGCCACTGACGGTCCTCTTTCTTTCCTCCCACCCTCCCCAGCATCAGAGCCTTCAGCTCTTTGCCTTCCTCCAATATGCCCAAAATGTGATAATTTGAGCCTGGTCGGTTCATGTCTTGAGTGACAACTCTGACCTGACGCCTCCCCTCCAAGTGTTATCCGGGTGTTACCATTGGCACAGATTATAGATGGTTCTTCCGCTTCACCTTTCCATGATATTCTCTTCCACAGGTAATCCTTGGTTTATATCAGTCCATTTAGTGACTGTTCAAAGTTACAGCAGCACTGAAAAAAGTGACTTCTGGACGTTCTTTCACACGACCTTTGCCGCCTCCCCCTGGTCACGTGATCAACATTTGGATGCTGGGCAACTGGTTCATATTTATGACGGTCGCAGCGTCCCGGGGTCACATGATCCCATTTTGCAACCTTCTGACAAGCAAAGCCAATGGGGGAGTGACTTAAGTCACTACCTTAACTGCAGCGATTCATTTAAGAACTATGGCAAGAAACATCGTAAAGTGGGGCAGAACTCACTAAGCAACTTTCTCAATTAGCAACCGAAATGTTGGGCTCAGTTGTGATTGAGGACCAGCGGTTGACCTCTACTGACCTGGAGCCGGTCTGTGTCCCCTGTTTGGCACGAGGCCCTTGAGCTGTTCTGGGACCCCCATTTCCCACGGCCTTCCGGTCAACTCAACCAAGGGCTCTTTTGTAACCCAGGAAGCACCTACGGAGTTTGGGGAGCTGCTCTTTGGTTCTCTCAATTATCCAGCCTGCCTCAGCATTAAGGCCGCTTGTTCTCCAGCCTTTTCTAAAGTCAGCTCGAACATCTGGCCTCTCCTCTCCTCTAATCCGTGTGGGATGATCCTAAACTGGCTGCAAAATTAAGGATATTGTACAATAGTTGGCACACTCAGCTAAGTCCCCTTGCTTTGATTTTGGAATGTGAACTGACCTTTTCCTATTTGGTGGCCACTGTGCCATCTTCCACTTTTGCCGGCATTTATTCTTATTTTTTATTTTATAAATGTGTATAGCATTTGCGTATAAATGTGTATAGCAGCCCCAGGGGAACTCTGGAGGGTGAATAGAAATAAAACCATCACGTTTGGGTAGAATCTTGACTGATTTTTCTGGATTTTGTTTTATTTCCATGAGATTCCATCTTTTCCTGCAGCCTTCTGATTTGGCAAGGATCGGAGAACTGATCTAAACTCTTCTTCTTTGCACAAGAGCTACAGGTAGTCCTCAATTTACGATCATAATTGAGCCCAAAATTTATGTTGCTAAGTGAGACGGTTGTTCATTGAGTTTTGCCCCATTTTACGACCTTCTGTGCCACAGTTGTTAAGTGAATCACTGCAGTTATTCAGTTAGTAACATGGTGAACACATGACCCTAGGACACTGTGACCGTCATAAGTACGAATCAGTCTGAAATTTGTTCACGTGACCACGGGGATACTGCAACGGTTGAAAGTGTGAAAACTGGTTCTCAGTCACTTTGTCTTGTGCTGCTGGAACTTTGAGCTGCCACTCTGTGAACTGTTGTAAGCCGAGGCCTCCCCTGACCTTGTACGCAGGGAGTACCTTCTATGGCAGGAGCCCCCAGCACTCTGGGGGAAAATAATTATTTGGAAAAAGTGTCCTCAAAAGTTCTGGGTTTTGGCTCCCTCACAGGGCTCTCTTCCGGCAACACCTCCGCTGAGGAAAGGGGTGGGTGGGAACAGCCGGAGGATCCTGATTGGCCAGTCCTGATTCCATCCTTTCAGGGGAACTGGGTGACCTCTAATTGCATCCCCCCTCCAGGCACCCCCCAGACCTGCTCCTTTAAAAGCCCAGGCTTCCTCTCCCAGCAGCCCATCTGCCCTGCACCATGGCCTCTGCAACGCCCCCACGGCTCTCTCTGGAGATCAGGGACCTGGAGGGCTTCTGGAGCCCCTTGAGGGGGTGCCCGGCTGCCCTGCTGCCCCCGCTGCCCTGCCTGTATCCTGCTCTGCCTGGCTATGGCTGGTACCCGCCGGCCCCGGGCTCCATCCCCCAGCCGGTGAGTCCAGGGGACGGGAGGGTCAGTGGGTCTGAGCTGCTTCTCCAGACCAGCAGCCTCTGCCCAGCAGGCAGCTTCGGTCTCTCAGGGAAGGTCAAGGGGGCTTCTCTCCCCATTGCAGAGGGCAGCGCTCAGATGAACGGCCTGAGAAACCTCAAGCAGAGTTTAAAGTCTGTAGAGATTCTCAGCCATTCAGGTCACCGTTGGCCCAAAGGGGCTTTTTTAAGGGGGCAGCTGGACTTTCTTGTTTTTTCTTTTGAAGACGTTTCGCTTCTCATCCAAGAAGCTTCTTCAGCTCTGACTGGATGGGGGGGGGAATGGAAGGACTACAGGAACCATTTGCACCACTCAGGTGACCCTGAGGACACAGATAACCCTCCAAGTGGCCTCAAGGACCCTCTCAAAGGATGCCAATGACCAGCTGTCTGCAAGGAACATGAATCCTTCTCTTCCCCACCGTCCAGTCAGAGCTCAAGAAGCTCCTTGGATGAGAAGCGAAACGTCTTCAAAAGAAAAAACAAGGAAGTCCAGTTGCTCCTTTAAAAAGCCCCTTTGGGACTAGAGCAGAGTTCCACAGAGGTGCCAAAGAAGAGCCGCACCTGCTTCTCCCGGCATCTTCCTCGGGGTTTCGCCCTCCCTTCCCCCCCCCCCCCCCCGCGACCGCCAACACCGGCCCCGTCCAGGGATCCGCTGGCTGCTCTTTGCCGCCATCCCAACCCGGCTAGTGGGGGACGGAGCGCGGCTCTCCTGGGCGAAGGCTCCGGCTGGTCCCGCAGCCCCGGATCGCGGCAGCTGGTTTGTGCCCGGGGCTCCCCTTCTGCAGGGCCGGCCGGGTGGGCTCTTCCGCGGCGGGACGCGCCGGGAGCCGCTCGAGCGGGTTTTGGAGGTCCGAGCGCTGGGCGGCGGAAGGGCGGGCCGGGTCGAGGGGGCAGCGCCGCCTTCGGAAGCCGGACCGCCGGGGGAGCCTCCGCGGGAAGCCCCCAACGCGCAGCCGCCTCTGTTCTGCGGGCGGGCAGGTTCAGGAGCGCAGCCGCTGGCCGGGAGCTTCTAGCCGGCTCCCCCGCCGCGGTGCCGCTTCTGCCCTCGGTCTCTTCTCTTGCGGAGGTCCCAGCGGTGGGGAGGGTCCCGCGAGGGCCTCCTGCGAAATCTCGGGCCTCGGAACACGCGGGAGAGGAAAGGCTCCCTGCATGGCCGCTCCTCCGTCGGAAGAGCCGGGACCCAGTTCCTGCGTGGGCATTTCACGCGGGAGAGTGGAAAGGCTACTGAGGAAAAGTTGGGGCGCATTCCTTCCTTCCTTCCTTCCTTCCTTCCTTCCTAAGAGAGTCTGTTGATCTAACTGATGGAAAATTTTGTTCACTCTCCAGGGTAAGCAGCCATGAAATTTATTATATTTTGTGAGATTTAACCATTTTTCTAATAGGATCTGAGATTTGTTTTCCTATTGTTGTATTAATTATTTCAGTCTCACAGCTAATTTGGATGTACAAAGTCTAGCAAAGAGACGCAATTTACCAGTTCCCTCAGATCTCTTGTTTGGTTTACTATCATCCATCACAGTTTTCAAATCCTTGCAGGAATTTTGCCACATACTTAAGAACGAATGTTCCAAAAAATCGTAATTAACTAGGTGTGCAACGCTTTGCTGAAAACATTTTTAAAAGGATAGAGTGGTCATCACTTAAGCTACCAGTGTTCCCAAGCTGGTTTTTTTTTTTATTATTTCCACTATTTATTTATTTATTTTGTTCAATTTGGGTGCTGCCTGACTCCAATTCGCAAAGGATCTTTATATACTTTAAGTTGGGGGTGGGGGAGCCTATTGTATTTAAAATCACAAAAAGAGATATTACATATACTGCTTCTCTAATATACCTCTATACTATATATCATTTCAACTTAAATCCAATTTTTATTTTGTGTGGAAAACTCAAAACAAAGTGGGCACAAATCTAAGCGGCCAACATCAAATAACAGAATCGATACAGTTCTGAAAGCAAGAGATATATAAAATGGGTAAAACCAAAATAAAACAATAGGTTCTTTTACTGCTTTGTGAAGATAGAGAAGTAGTTGGGGAAACAAATTCCATTTTCCTCCTCATTAGTGCCAGTTATTCCCAAGTAATGTAATAAAGCTCTTTAGTAATATGTGAATTAACTTGAACACTCTTTTTTAGATTAAAGGGACTATTTTACAAATAAAATAATGCCAGGAGGTATTTTAAAGCAGAACAAAAAGTTTCTGGAATGTGAGCTAGACAAGCAAAACCTTTCTAAATTCTCACTTCCAAGTAACTTTTTGGATGGAAACTAATAAAGGAGAGAAGCAATTAGAACTAGAACTAAGGAGAAACAGTGGGAACGATTAATCAGTATAATCAGTTTGCCTCCAGAAGTTGTGGGTGCTTCATCACTGGAGGCTTTTAAGAAGAGAATGGACATCCATTTGTCTGGAATGGGATAGGCCAGGGTTTCCTGCCTGAGCAGGGGGTTGGACTAGAAGACCTCCAAGGTCCCTTCCAACTCTGTTATTCTGTGTTCTATGTTTGATCTTCCAGTCCCCTAATCATCTTTGTTGCTCTTCTCTGCATTCTTTCCGGAGTCTCAGCATATTTTTTATATTGTGGTGACCAAAACTGGATGCAATATTTCAAATGCGGGCTTACCAATGCAGTATAATATGTTCAGTATATTCATTTGGCCCTTTCCCAGTAACTTTAGTTACATCTAATGGGGGTTTACTATCACCTCTTGATCACTTTTAAATAATTTCCCCTGATCTTGCCTGATACTGATCACAATATAAGGCTCTTCTGAAGCATGTCGGAGAAATTATGTCTTTAATCTGATTCCCATATTTATTTGAGAGATGTTGATCCCACTCCAACAACTTCTAACAGAATATTATATCTTTTGGATATTAGAGCCCTTTGAAGATTCTGACATAAGATTTTCACCAGCTGTTGTTACTAGTCGCAGTGCTGTCATTTTACAGATTATACATTATTACAGACTCATTTCATTCATTACAACCACTCAAGATTTATAGATGCCAGTTTCTCCTCTTAAATAGTTTAAGCCCGATAAATACATACGATGAACTGTTGGAGGAATTGGGTATGTTTAGATTAATGAAGAGAAGGACCCAGGGGAGACATGATAGCAGCCTTCCAATATTTGAGGGGCTGCCACAAAGAAGAGGAGGGGGTCAACCTATTCTCCAAAGCACCCAAAGGCCGGATCAAGGAGAGAAGCAACCTGGAACTAAGAGAAATTTCCAGACTGTGAGAACAATCAGTGGAATAGCTTCCCTCCAGAAGTTGTAGGTGCTCCATCACTGGAGGCTTTTAAGAAGAGACTGGAAGCCATTTGTCTGAAATGGTGTAGGGTCTCCTGCTTGAGCAGGGGGTTGAACTAGAAGACCTCCAAGGTCCCTTCCAACTCAGTTATTCTGTAATGATAGAAATGTAATGGAAGCAAAAGCACCTACCAGCAGGTGCGTTGGTCCAGTGACTTGTGCAAGGATTCCCATAGAATAGAATAGAATTCTTTATTGGTCAAGTGTGAGTGGACACACAAGGAATTTGTCTTGGTGCATACGCTCTCGGTGTACATAAAAGAAAAGTTACGTTCGTCAAGAATCATAAGGCATCCTATCATAATCATGAGAAGTGATTAGTGTTGCCATCTTGTGGCTTTGAGGCAGTGGGCCTTCTCTGTCGCAGCCCCCACCCTCTGGAATCCCCAAGGGTCCTGGAAGCCTCTTAGGACCCAGCTGTGTTATATTAGGAATGTAGCTTTTCTCAATTATGTTTTAATTTAGGCACTGGACATGTTGTAAGCTGCCGAGAGCCTTTTTAGTGTTGGGTCCAATGAACAAAGCGTGGAAAAAATGGATGTATTAGAAAAAGTTACATAACCAAGATGGGAGTTTGGGTAATGTACCAGAAAAATGACTTTTGCTTCAGTTTCGGAAAAAGTAATTCTTTTTGTAAAGCATAATAGACCTAATTTTCTTTACACCAGTTGTGTACACCAGGGTATACAGCAATTGGTACTGAAATCTTGACTTGTTTTAAGATCTTTTAAATATGTATATTGGCATTTCAAAATAATGTTTTTAAAACAAATCATAGAAATGTAGCATCAGAAGAGATCACAGGGTTCAAGCAGTCCAGAGTCCCCCAAAGTAGTGAATATCAACCCTCAAGGGGTCTATCCAGAGGTGGTTATTATATACACAAAAATGTGAAATTGCAGCTGCCCGTCTTTTATATATATAGCTCTCATATGCTTTGAGTTTTTACCAAGCAGTTCAAGAGCTCAGGATTCATAATGTAGCACTATTGTCTTATGTACAAATGCAAGCAGAGGGGGGAGGGGGAGTTTGTAACTGACAGATAGAAATTTCCCCACTGCACAGATTTGTTTAAGCACCATCCAAAAATTTTTGGTGTGATCTCCCATGTGCCAATAACACCACAGCCAGTTTCTGCCATAGTCTACCTCAATTCTTTGTCTTCTATTCTCCTCTCTCCTGGTATCACCAGATCAGTTGTCCCCACTTTCTTCTTTTCAAGCACGGTTAAATTTGGGGTGGCCAGGCTTTTATCAGTATGTTATTCAGAATCCCACAATATTTTAACCTGCTCATTTATGCTACTTTTGCATGTTTGTTTGTTTTTTGTATGCATCTTTTTGGTACGTTTTCTATGTTCCCACCATCTTTTCAGGACTGGCATGTGGTAAATTCTATTGAATCTGTGCAAGCTTTTTTTTTTTTTGCAGTCTTCTTTTACCAGCTGAGTATACGATCTCCTGAAGAGTCTGGGGACCCCCTGATCTAGTCCAGCCCACTGCAGGGGTAGAAAACCCCCGTTAAACCATCCTCCACAGCCACACCAGGAGAAGGAGGGCTGCTCAGTGAAGAGGCTTGGGGCCAGGGAGGTTGCCCAGTACCACTCACGGCTCACCCTCGCTCTGCCTTGTGTCTTGCAGGTGCCGGCCCCCTGTTGTGAGCTGCCCAGAGGGGTGCCCCTGCTGTGGCCGATGCCCCCGCTGGGCAGGCCCCTCCTCTGTGCAGGCCCCCCGGAGGACCCACGCTGGGGCAAGACGGCCGTCTGGAGGGAGAGCACGGGGGCCCTCCGGGCGTGGCTGGGCCAGCATCTCCAGAACCCCTACCCCAGCAAGGGAGAGAAGGTCCTGCTGGCTGTGCTGAGCCAACGGAGCCTGAGCCAGGTCTCCACCTGGTTTGCCAACGCCCGTCGGCGCCTCAAGAAGGAGAACCGGCTGCACAGTGGCTCTCGGCTGCTCACGGCTTCGGGAGAGGAAGAGGAGGAGGAGGAGGAGGGCAAGAAGGGGCAGGCTGGAGGCCAGTGGGCAGACCCCTGGCAAGGACCCAGACAAGACCCGGATCCCCTCGCCTCTGTCGACCAGGCTGCATCAGAGAGGGTCCCTCCTGAGCCCAGGCTGTGGAGCGTGGCCGAGCCAGCCACCCGCCTCCTGCCTGGGAAGCCTCCCCAGTGGGTGTGGGGCCTCCGTCCCCTGAGAACTCTCTCCTCCGGCCTCCGGGAAAACCCCAGCTGTGCACCCAGGGAGGGGAGGGGAGATGGGCCACCCCCGGGCTCTGAGCCTTGGGGCCCTCCTGAAGAATCAAGTGGAGCTGAAAGAGGCATCACTCTGCCCTCTCCCGGTTGGTGCGCCCTGGAGATGGACTACAATCCCCAGGATGCCCAGCTGGCCTGTCAGCTGGTCATGCAGACTTGTGGCTCTGCACATCTGGAGTGTACCAGGCTGGGGAAGGCCAGGGCCAGTAGGGGGGACTGTGCTGCAGGGGCCCTTCTCCATGTGGGCAGCTCCAGAATGGGCCAGAGTGCCAGGCAGAACAACCCTCTGGGACAGTGGCTGCCACTCGAGTGAGCTGGGCGCAGGGCCCCTTCTTCTCCCCTGGAAAGCAGTGCGAGGGGCAGACGCTTTCTCCAGATTGGAGGGCTCCATGTGGCACGGGGCTTCCCGTTGACTTCACTTGTGGGAAGCTGGCAGGGAGTCACAAGTCACAGGTGTGTGGGGTCCTTGCTTAATGACCGGTGTTGCTCTTTCCAACCACATCACTTAACGATGCAAATTCCACTCCCGAACCGCCATCATTAAGTGGGGATTGATTCCCTGTATGACTTCCCATGTCAGGACTTGACGTACGACCACAATTGAGCCCAAAATTTCTGTTGCTAAGCAAGACAGTTGTTAAATGAGTTTTGTCCCATTTTATGACCTTTCTTGTCACAGCTGCTAAATGAATCACTGCAGTTGTTCAGTAACAGGGTTATTAAGTGAACCTGGCTTCCCCACTGCTTGCCAATAGGTCACAAAAGGGGGTCACGTGACCCCAGGACTCTGCAACCGTCATAAGTACGAGTCAGCCACCATGTATCCAAATTTTGATCACGTGACCCTGGGGATGCTGCCATGGTCGTAATGTGAAAAACAGCCATAAGTCGCTTCTTTTTGTGCCATTGTAACTTCAGATGGTTCCAGAGGGAGCTTGGGCCAGTTCCTGAAACTCTGGCACACGACTCGGCTGAAGATCTGGTGGCTGCCTGGGATAGGACAGCCGCCGGTGCTCTGGACCGAGTCGTGCCTTTGCGGCCTCTGACCCGACGCCGAACCTGCCCGGCTCCTTGGTTTTCCGAGGAGCTGAGGGAGATGAAGCGCCGGAAAAGATGCCTAGAGAGTGGTTGGAGGGCGAGTCGCTCCGAATCCGACCGAACACTAGTTAGGTCTCATATTAAGACCTATCTAGTGGCGATAAAAGCGGCAAAGCGTAACCACTTTTCCGCTCTTATTGCATCGGCAGATAACCGCCCAGCCGCCTTGTTTAGGGTGACCCGCTCCCTCCTACATCAGGGAGCACGGGAGGACCCCTTGCAAGGGCAGGCTGAGGATTTTGCACAGTATCTGCACGATAAAATCGCTCAGATTCGGGAAGGCTTGGACTCTGACTGGGTAGATCCCGGCGGGGTGACTGAGGCTGGTCTTGAGAATGTTACCTGGGATGAGTTCGACCCTGTGACTCCTGAGGACGTGGACAGGATCCTGGGGAGATTAAACGCAACCACATGTTTATTGGACCCGTGCCCCTCCTGGCTGGTACTGGCCACCCGGGAGGTAACACGAGGCTGGCTCCAGAGGATCATAAATGCTTCTTTGAGAGAGGGTTTCTTGCCTCCCGCCTTGAAAGAGGCGGTGGTGAGGCCCCTCCTCAAGAAGCCTTCTCTGGACCCGGCCGTTTTGGCAAACTATCGTCCGGTCTCCAACCTTCGCTTTGTTGCGAAGGTTGTGGAGAGTGTGGTTGCGCGCCAGCTCCCACAGTTCCTGGATGAAACCGTCTATCTAGATCCGTGCCAGTCCGGCTTCAGGCCTGGGTACAGCACGGAGACGGCATTGGTCGCATTGGTGGATGATCTCTGGAGGGCTCGGGACAGGGGTTGTTCCTCTGTTCTGGTCCTGTTAGACCTCTCAGCGGCTTTTGATACCATCGACCATGGTATCATGCTGCGCCGGCTGGAGGGACTGGGGGTGGGAGGCACCGTGTTGCGGTGGTTCTCCTCCTATCTCTCTGACCGGTCGCAGTCTGTGTTGGCAGGGGGGCAGAGGTCGACTTCGAGGCGCCTTGCTTGCGGGGTGCCGCAAGGGTCGGTCCTCTCGCCGCTCCTGTTCAACATTTATGTGAAGCCGCTGGGTGAGATCATCCGTGGTTTTGGGGTGCGATGCCATCTGTACGCTGATGACACTCAGCTGTACATTTCCACCCCAGACCACCCCAATGATGCCCTCGAAGTGATGTCCCAGTGTCTGGAGGCCGTGCGGGTCTGGATGGGGAGGAACAGGCTTCGGCTCAACCCTTCCAAGACCGAGTGGCTGTGGATGCCGGCGTCCCGGTATAGCCAGCTGGTGCCATCGCTGGCTATTGGGGGCGAGTCACTGACCCCCACAGAGGGGGCTCGCAACTTGGGCGTCCTCCTGGACACACGGCTGTCTTTAGAAGAGCATATGACGGCCGTGGCCAGGGGGGCTTTTTATCAGGTTCGCCTGATACGCCAGTTGCGCCCCTTTCTGGATCGGGACTCCTTGTGCACAGTCACTCATGCCTTGGTTACGTCACGCCTGGACTACTGTAACGCTCTCTACATGGGGCTCCCCCTGAGGAGCACCCGGAGGCTCCAGCTGGTGCAGAATGCGGCTGCACGGGTGATTATGGGAGCGACGTGGCGCTCCCACGTAACACCTCTCCTGCGCGAGCTGCATTGGCTCCCGGTGGTCTTCCGGGTGCGCTTTAAGGTGTTGGTTCTCATCTTTAAAGCGCTCCATGGCTTAGGGCCAGGGTATTTGCGAGACCGCCTGCTGCTACCGATAACCTCCCACCGGCCAATACGCTCTCACAGAGAGGGCCTCCTCGGGGTGCCGTCGGTCAGGCAATGTCGGCTGGCGGCCCCCAGGGGGCGAGCCTTCTCTGTGGGGGCACCCGCCCTGTGGAATGAGCTGCCTCCTGGAATACGATTGATCCCAGACCTCCGGACCTTCCGTAAAGCCCTGAAGACGTTTTTATTTCATCAAGCCGGCCTAGCCTAAATGGTTTTTAATTGGGATTTTAAATTTTATGGATTTGGGGTTTTAAATTTGGGTAGCCGATGATTTAATTCTTTTAATTATCTTAACTTTTGCATTTGTATGTTTTTTAATTTTGGCTGTTCACCGCCCTGAGTCCCTTCCGGGAGAAGGGCGGTATACAAATTAAATTAATAAATAAATAAATAAAAGATGGTCACTAAACAAATGGTTGTAAATTGAGGTCCACCTGTAGATAATCTGGTCAGCACATGTACAGGATTTTGTGAGGTGGGAATGTCGCTTATGATTGCGAAGCCTCTCCAGCCAAATGGACCAGGGGGCTCCGACCTTGGCAACCTTAAGACTTGTGGACTTCAACTCCCAGAATTCCTCAGCCAGCTGGAACGGAGGGTCCAAATCTAAGTCAAGTGAGCTTTCGGTTAACATTTATTCTGAGGCAGATCAGGTATCACCGAGCAAGAAGGTAACAATTCAGAGTCCCCACCAAATTTTATAGGGCTCTCCTCGATATTGTACAAAACTCTAAAATACCTCCTAATATAATATTCATATACAGTTTTTTTGTTTTTCTTCTTTTAATCCTATGCTGCTCAGGAGTTGCTATGTGAGTGAGATGGACAGTTTCTAGATTTGATATAAAATTCAATAAATAAAAACACGAGAGCTTTTCTTTAAAATCTGTGTGCGTGTATTAATCACAGCCTGTGTTGGTGAAATTGCATGCATGTTGTTAGATTTAGCAGCTTCCCTTTATTCCCCCACTTTGGGTGAGGGTCTTTAAGGAAATTGGAGAAATTGCATAGTAACCTTTAGTAATTAATTAATTACTGGTAGTTCTGGGGTGCTTTTATTGCTCATTCCCTGCCCCCCCAAATTAATAAACGGATGCATCGTAAGGAATTATATCAATTGTTTTATTGCCAGATGTACCATACCAAAACATCAAAAATTTAATACTGTAGGTTCAATCAAATATGAGAATTATCCCACGCGTGAATCATGTGAAATGTGAAAGGGTGAGAATTATCACTGACAGAACAATTAATGTAATAGGAAGTGTTCTCATTACACCCACCTCTGTTTTTTCAAACCTTTGATTGATAGGCGCCCACATGTCAGTGTTACTCACAGCAGCGCCCCCAGGCAGAGCCTCCCCCATTCTGTGTGTTGGATCTCTCTCGGCCCTTTTGAATCCCCCCCCCCTTGACTCTCTGAAGTCCAGAGCCAAACTCTCTCCCTGCCTCCAACTCACAGAATGATTCTGGGTTAGTGAAAGAAGGTTTAGCCTTGCTGGCAGTTCTTCTCTGCAGCTCTGCCTCCTCTGGGCTGGATTACTCTCTGACATGATGTCCTGCTTCTTGTCTGGGACGCAGCCGCCGAGGAGACCAAGCTGAGCCTAGCAGGGCAGAGAGGGGCGATCAGGGGGCCCGTCTAGACGTCTCTCTTGCGGGGATCCTGGCATTCCCAACCCGGATTTAGCCAAAGCTGTCCTGCCCCCTTGCTTTACTCCTGGGCACCCAGGGCTCGGAGAGGAGAGGAAAGAGGTGTGTGTGGGGGGGGGGGGGAGGGACTGTTTCTTTTCCTCTGACTCCAGGTGTTCCAAGGCAGACCCCACAGTCAGAGAATGAGACTCCAGATTTTGCACACCAAAGCCGGTCTCTGAGTGGTGAGACACACTTCCCTTGTGGGCATTTGGAGGTGGGAGAAGAGGGACCCAAGACCAGTTTTGCAAAAACAAAAAACACAACCCCCATTGTCAGAGACTCACTCGGAGGGCCCGCTCCCATTCTGGCCATCACAGGGCTCCCAAAGGCCTGGATGCCTCCTGCCCAAGGGTTCCTCTGGCGGATCAGGCAGCTTCCCAGGGCAGGCTCAGCTCAGCCCCCCCATGGCCCCTCTGCCTCCTTCAGCTGCTCCTCCCAGACAGAGGAAGCAGAGCAGCTGCGTGGAAGCCCCCACAAAGCCCCAGAGTCTTCCAGAGGGACCTTCAGCCAGAGGAAGGCAGTGGGCCTGAAGAGTCTGAGTGGAGGGACAAGGGAGCCCACGCTGGCGGGGGGAGGGGGGCTGTGTCATTTGTCTTTGGGATGCCCCCCTGTATTGAGTGGGGATGGTCTGGATGTCCTCAAGGGTCCCTTCTGACCCTGGGATTTGGAGGCTTGATCAGCCTTGGCAGTGTTGGAGGCCTTGAGTGCTTTCCTGAAGGGGACCATGGGGGGGGGAAGGGGGGATGCTGGAACATGGGGTTCCAGGGGTGCCCTGAGTCCTCAGCCAAAAAAGAAAGGGCGTACCCACTTTCTCCCCCAGGAGGAAAGAAGCCAGACAAACTGAGAGGGGGGAGGGGAGTTCCAGGAAAGATGCAGAGTCTTGAGCTGAATCATCAGGGGACTTTTGGATGGCCTCTGGCACCCCCACTTTCCCCATGAGGCCCTTCATTTAGCAACGGGGGGGGCAGCACTCTCAGGAGGGTCCTGGCACACTCCCTTCATTGCATCAAGAACTTGCCCATTACCAGTCTGGGCATCCAGCCTGGCGCAACCTCTGGGAAGTGGAGGCAGGGTCAGGATGCGAATGCTGCACAGGAGCTGGGAAGGGCTGCCTGGAGACAGAGGGAGCCTCCTCCCTCATTCGTGCTCAGGTTTTATTGCTGCCCACCCACCACCTGCAGCCTCATTGCGGTGAGGAAGCAACAGGCTCTTGCTGGGCTGCTCCTCGGGACTGTTTTCCTGGGATCCCCTTCCCCATTGTCCCCCCATCATCCCTCCAGAGAGACCTTCATCCAGATGGATCCACTGGGGAGTTAGCCTCCCACCTGCCAGCTCCAGCGTTTCCCAAAGTCTCCAGCCTAAATCTTCCTAATAGTGAAATGCAGGTAAAGGATGTCCTTTGCCAGACGGGGTGTGGTTGTCAGGTACGCTGCCACTATGCATGGAGGTTCAATTTCTGTTGTAAGGAATGGTTCCCTTGGGGTCGCTTCAGAGGCTCTTCTTGGCCTGCAGGCTCTCTGCACAGTTTTCCACTCCAAACGGGTTGGCTGTTCCTGGTGAGGAAGGCATCCACAAGCAAGAGAGGAGGAGGCTGGGCACCATGCGCATCTCTGCCATCCGGGTGACCAACTTCATGGAAGTGAGGCTGCCGGAGGGGGAAGCTGCCCCGCCCCATGCCGTGAAATGGACCTCAGGGGGTGCCTGGCAGCACCAGGAGGTGCCCTGGGGGCAGGGGGGGGGTCTGTGTGAAGGGCAAGGAGCGTGGAGGTGGCCTCCCAAGGCAGTTCAGGCAGGCAAGTCAAAGATGTCCTGGCAGAGGCACTGGCAGAGGCTGTAGAAGATGCAGAGCAGGAGGGTGGAGGGCACCAGGCTGACCAGGCCCAGGCCCAGGTTGGGGCGCTCCACCAGCAGGAGGTAGATGCCCAGGGGCAGGGAGCTGAAGTAGACCAGGCCCAGCAGGCCGAGCAGGAAGCGGGGGACGGCCCGCTGGGTGCCGCAGGCCCGGCAGAGGGGCAGCGGGCCGCGGCAGGGCAAGGAGGCCAAGCTGGGCGGGCGGTAGAAGCGCATGACGTCCACTAGGTCCAGCGCCTCGGGGGCGGCCGCCTCCTCGGGCACCTCCAGCAGGGTGATGACCAGGCAGTCGGAGGAGCGGTGCTTGCCGCCCGCGAAGGGCTCCAGCCCGCCGGGGCACAGCAGCACCTCCGGGGACGGCGGGGGCTTGCAGAGCAGCGCCAAGACGCGCCCGTTGTCCGGCAGCCGCGCCACGTCCTCGCCCGGCACCGGCGTCTCCTGCCGGCAGAAGGGGCAGCAGAGGCGGCCGGGGGAGCCGCCCGCCTCCACCATCCGGCGCAGGCAGCGGGCGCACACCTGGTGGCGGCAGCCGAGCACCTTGGGCCGCCGGCCGCGCCCGTCAAAGCTCTCGCAGCAGATGCCGCACTCCGTCTGGTCCCGCTGCCCCGGGGGCCCCGGCTGGGACATGGCAGCCCCGCAGGGCGGGCGGCGCCTGCAGGGACAGAAAGCGGGAGGCTTCAGGAGCGCCGCAAACAACGCGGAGGAACCGGCCAGAGCCGCCTCCCTGCAGGACCGAGCAGGCTCCCGCGCCCGACCCGCGCCCACGCGGCAAGCGGTCCTCAGGGGCGCCCAGGCCCGGGACACGCGCCTCCCAGCCAGCGCAGCCTCCGAGGAGCAGGAAGCGCCGCTGGGGCAGAAATCCCGGGGCTCCCCGCTTGCAGAGCCCCGCCCTGGAGCTGGCCCGGCCCCACCTGAGCCCCCCGTGCCCACGGCCTGCATTGCAGGAAGGGAGGAGGGAGGCCTCGGGCTCTGCCCTGGAAGGAAGCGCTTCCCCCAGGCCGGAGCCCCGAGGCGCAACCAGGCAGGCCACCGGGGAGGGGACGGGGACGGACTGGGGAAACCCACGCCCCCTCCTCCCCTTCCTCCCCCGGGCCGCAGGGACCCCCTGGGCTGGGGCTGCCTTCTGCCTGCTTACCTCGCCGCGGGCGCCAAGAGAAGGGCCGGCTCGCGGGGACTGCCGCAGCGCCAGCTGGGCGCTCCCGGGCCACGGGCATCCGCCTCCCCGTTGTCAAGGCGACGCAGACCGAGCCGGGTGTGGGCGACGCTCGCTCGGGACCGAGTCCCCCCCCTCTCCCTCCTGAGCCCGATCGGCTGCCCGCCGACCCCCGCCTGCGCCCTCGCTCCGGATGCGGCAAAGGAGGGCTTCAGGCGCAGGGTGGGCAGGAGGGGCCTTCGTCTGCTACGCCCCCCCTTCCCCCCCCCGCACAAGGCGCTGCAGCGGGGAAATAAAATTGTGGGGTCCGAGGCGCTAATGGGCAAAATTCACGCCACTCGTTTCAGGCGTGAATTTTGTTATTGCATTGACAAGGCAGTTACGTCACCAACGCAGCCCCTTCTTGTCCTTCATAGGGTAATATTTAGCCCCCCCCACCCGTGGGCTGACCTTAAACGGGAGACTGCGGGGAGGCAGGATTTCAAGCGCCCCCGAGGGGAATGAAGGAAATGCCCAGCCAGAACCTCCAGCGTCCCAGGGGCCAAAGACGGGAAGGAAGATGGCAGAAGCGCAGACCAACCAGACGCAGCCCTGGCACCAGAGCAGGGCAACTGCCTGGCAGGAATCGGGGGGGGGGGGGGGACCGACCACCCCATGGCTGCCCCGGCCCTTTTCCGCCAAAGTCCCTCCTTCCCCCCTTTGGCCCGGGGGGGGGGGGAAGACGGGGCTGGACAGTCCTGCCATCTGAGGGGTTTGCAACCGGACCGCAATAAACAAGTTAGGAGGAAAGGCGGGGGCTCATTAAATTTGGGGATGTCACCAAAGTAAAGAAATTGGTTATTCCTGCTAGTGACAGAGGGAAGCCCCCCCCCCCTTGAGGGTTTGCATACTGTTTACAGCAAGGTGAAGCTGAAGTGAAAAGGTCCAGCAGCTGGAGAGAAGGAAGTTGGGATGGGGAGATCCAGCACTTCATGAGGACTGGGGGGACAGGGGAGGGTCCCGGGTGACCCAGCTGCTGAAAAGGCCAACCAAAGGGCATCCGATGCACAGAGCAGCTGTTCCACTTGCCTGGCTTAAGCCACACCTGGAGCACCCCGCCCGGTTCTCAGCTCATCCTAGAGAAGAGCGAAGGAGGGCCTGGCAGTCCAGCCCATTCTCTGAGGGGGGGGGTCCAGGAGCCCCACACTGACATTCAGACTCCCCCACCCCCCAAAGTAAGGCCCACTGGACAGCAGAAGAGCCTCCCTGGAAGGGCGTCTCCCTCCTGGCTGTCTCCAAATGGGGATCAGAGGAGCCACCAGGGAGGGTTGGATTGCAGGAGGGAAAGGAGGACGGTCTAATTCACACACTGACAGACATGGAGCAATAGTCCAATACTTGAGGGGCAGCCCCAAAGAGAGAGGGGGGGGCGTGTCAACCTGTTTTCCAAAGCACTTGGAGGCAGGAGGAGAAACAATGGATGGAGGCTAATGAAGGGAAGAAGCAATCTAGAAATAAGGAATAAAGAAATTTTCTGACAGGGAGAACCATCAACCAACGGAACAGGAGCTGCCTTCAGAATTTGCGGGTGCCGGAAGCTTTCGAGAGGAGACCGGGCTGCCATCTGTCAGAAATGGTGTTGGGGTGGGACTAGATGACCTACAAGTTCCCTTCCAACTCTGTTACTGTTTTGTTTCTATTCCTATTCCTTTCTATTCTATTCGAAATCATTTCAGCAACATGTGAGCGTTCTGTCCTCCCTGAATAAGAAAATGGAATCTCCACTGGCTTCAGGAGAGAACATTTTGGGCCAGCATCATCAGAGCTCCCCCCCCCCCCCCCCCCCCCGGGCTTTTGCATTCAGACGCTGCCTGCATTTTAAAGACTTGGATTAGCGCAGAGGTGGCTGCTTCAGAGGTTAGGCTGTTTACCCGCCCCCTGCATGCGTTTCTCAGACGGATTCCTTGGGCAGATTTGCTCCACGGGTGTCCGAAAGGCAGGGTGGTGGGATGAGCGCCTCGGACCCTTCCCACATGGACCACCAGGCAGGACAGTCACGGGGTGGGGGTGGGGCTGTCAGGCTGGGAATGTAACCACACAGCCCACCTGAAGGGTCCCCACCACACCACCTGGAGCTCCCCCCCCCATAGCAGACCTTGGCCAACTCTTCACGTTGGAAGACCCCTGCCAGATTTTGGGGAGGGAGGGGTGGGTGGGACTTCCACTTCCAGAGGCCTGAGCCCAAAGCCCCTCAAAGGTCCATCCGGCCCTTCCTGCAGTGGCCGGCCAGGTCACCCACAGAGAACCCTGCAAAAAGCAGGAAAGGAGGCTGCAGGCAGTCCTTGACTTACCACTGCTCATTTAGTGACCGTTCAAAGTTAAGAACCTTGGCACTGAAAACGGTGACTTAGGGCCGTTTTTCACACTTATGACGGTTGAAGCGTGCTCTATGGCCACGGGATCAAAATCGATGCTAGGCAACGGGTTCATATTTATGACGGTCCCAGGAGCCACGTGAGCCCCTTTGGCGACCTTCAAAGTCCATGCGGAAGCTGGATTCGCTTAACAGCCGTGTTACTAGCTTAGCAACTGCAATGATTCACTTAGCGACTGTGGCAAAAGAAGACGTAAAAGGGGGCAAAACTCACTTAACAGCTATCCTGATGGGCTCAATTAAGTCAAGGACGGCCTCGGGAACTTCTGTGACTTCTGTGTCAGAGATTCCTTCCAGCCCTTGAATCCCGGGTGAGGCAGGCGGGCAGCCACCCAGCCTCCGTCCAGGGAGAGGCCACTTCGCTCCCCCCCAGGAACACGGGACCTCGTGCCGCTCCCCATTGGGCGGAACTGTGGCTGACGGAAGGAGGCAGGACAGGCGCTGTGCCTGCGGACAGGAGAGGAGGGAGCGGAGGGTCCCACAGGGAAATGGGGTTTCGTGGGGTCAACTGGCCAGGAGCAGCCAAGGGCCTCCCAGCTTCAGGTCAGCCACCAACCCCTAAGGCCACAGCTGAGGCCCCCATCTGACCCTCCCCAGAAAAGCCACCAGGCCCGGGCAGGTGATAATGCTGGTTTTAATGTTCCTAAGAACTAGAAACAAAATCCAAAATAGACTTTTTCCGTTGCTCTTTCAATAAAAGTCATAAAATGGTTAGCATAGTTAAATTAAACCCTTTTAAAAAAAGAACAGAAACAAAACCCTCCCAGGAAGCCAGGAGCCTCAGGTGGAAACAAGACAACTACCAAAAGGGCTGCCCAGACCTTCCGCTCACACACACGCAAGTCCTCTGCTCTGCGACGGACACGAATCTGCGCCGGGGGGGGGGGGGGGGGGAGCCACCGGCCCCCCCCGGGAAGAAGACCGGGGGGGGGGCGGGGGGGGGGGGGGCAACGAGGGCAGCCACCACAGGGACACGTATTTACACGACCGATTGTGCACCGGCAGCAGCCCCCACCGCCTGCTTTCCCCACCTCCTGCCGTGGGGGGCAGCCTGGCCCCACTCCCCAGCCCTCCCTCCCCGGCTGGGGAAGGCTCAGCGAGGCAGCAGGCCCCACTCTGCTGGGCACAGCCCAAGGGCATCTGCAGCTCATCTGGGGGGGGGGCATGAGGACTGCCCCACCCAGGCCAGGCCAGCCGCTCCTCTCCTGCTTGGGAGCAGTCCGGTCGTCCTTCTCGGCCTCTCCGCTGGCCGCCCATCAGTTGGGGGTCGACTCCCGGCTGGTGCTCTGCTCCTGAACCGGCTCCTGATCCTTGTCTGGGGCCGAGGAGGCAGCGGTGGTGGCGGGCTGGGCGCGTCCCGAGTGCTTGTAGGCGGTGAGCAGCTCGTGCAGGCGCTCCTGGCTGGGCTCCCACTTGGAGAAGCCCGCCTGGTTCTGCAGGAACAGCACTGTGGTGTTGTGCACGGCTTTGTAGTACATCTCCTCCCTGCAAACGCAGAAAGCCAGTGCTCAAAGACCCTCCCCCCACCCCTCCCCCAGCCCTTCGGCCCACAAGGCAGCCCGGCAGGAGAGCGCTGGGCCAGAGGCCTGCTGGGCAGGTGGCCCACAAAGTCAGGGCAGGCCCAGGGGGGTTTCTGGCCCACGCCCTCTGGGAGCCTCCTGGGAGTCACCCAGCCACGGCAACCCCGCCCCACCTCATTTGGGGGGCTGTCAGGGACCCTTGTAAAGGCTAACGTTCCAGTGGGAGCTATGGGGAGAGGGGCAGGGGAAGACCCTGATCAGAGGCTGTCCCGCCCCCCCACCCGCCTCCTGGGAAACTCCAGTCTCAGGACGGGAGCCCAGGAAACCTGGAGGGGGCTGTTGCCACGGCTGTGTGGGAAGGAGGCCCTGGGAATAGAGAGAAGCCCATCAAAGCGGCTCCCCACACCTGGGAAGGGTTGGAGGGACCGGGAGAGAGTGGAGGGGAGAGCAGCTTGGTCTCGTGGTGAAGGAGCTGGTGGAAACTGGGAGACAGGGAGTTCTAGTCCCGCCTTTTAGGCACAAAAGCCGGCTGGGTGACTTTGGGCAGGTCCCTCTCTCTCAGAGCAGCCCACCTCACAGGGTTGTTGTGGGGGGAAAGGAGGAGGAGGCGGCGGCATGGGAGGGGGAGTGAGGGCTGAAAATTACGGCCCTCCCCATTGCTCCTGCCCAGATTCCCAGCTTACTTTTTGCAGAGATGCTGGGAGCCGCTGCGGTACTCGTGGTCAAAGGCCGGCAGGACGAGCTGCTGCCGCTTGAAGTGACTCTGCTCCATGCGGGTCAGGGCGGTTGGGGGGGGGTCCCGCCATTCCGGGATGAAGACGATGAAGGACAAGGGCTCGCTGGACGCCTCCAGCAGTTTCTGAGGCAGAGAGAAGAGGTGGGAAGGCTCAGCCGCTCTCCCACCCGGCCTGCCCAGGGGAGGTGCGGCTGGGGGTCCGTGCCCCACCCCACGCAGCCCCAAGGCCTTACCTCGAAGTGAGTCACCATGACGTCCATCAGCTCCTCACAGAAGGGAGGGTTGGCCTGAAAGGAGCCGCTGATGGGGAAGAAGTCCAGGCAAGGCCTGAGGGGAAGGAGGAGGCGGTAGCCAAGGCCGGCCGGGACCCTCCCCAGCCTGGCCCAGAAACAACGCCCAGCAGGTCGTGTCCCCCTCTTCCTCCCGCCCCACCCCCACCCCTGGTGCCCAAGCTCCAGAGGGCAGCATGTGGGCGCTCACCCTCTGGATCCGAAGTAGCCGTCCGTGTCTGGGAAGGCCGAGCAGTATTGCTTGAAGTAGCAGTTCAAGGGGGAGGCGAAGCATTCAAAGCTCACCCCGAAGAGCTTGTAGAGGGCTTCAAAGATGTGCACCGGGAGCGCCCCCTGCAGGCCGGTGCCCTCGTAGAGCCCAACGCCAAACATCATCTGAGGAGGAGGAAGGACAGGAGCCCTCTGGGAAGCAGAGCAGGGCCAGGTCGGCTCCTCGACCCCCCACCCACCTCCTGAAGCCCAGCCGGAGGGAGGGCCATACCTGGTACCTGCGGAGCAGGCACCAAACCCTCGGCAGGAAGTGCTCAAAGCCGGAGTCGTCGATGCAGCTGTAGCGATAGAGCTGCCACTGCAAAGGAAAGAGAGGGGCTCTGTGAGGGCGCCCGAAGGGCAGGGGGTCTCCCTCCCACCTCCAA